CAGAGATGAAAAACAGCTTTGCCTTATTCAGAGGTGTCTTCTAAATCAGTTGAGAAGTATTGTACCCAAGAACTACCTGTTTCTCCAGTCTGTCTTATAGTGAGCCCAGGGGTGGTTGAGGCTGGGGCCAATACCTATGTGTGACACAGTTCAATGATGTGAAACTCAACCCAGCAACCAAAGAAGTTCTTTGTCTGGCACCCAAATGCCTGCTCAATGTACCCTGAGGTGCATTGCCTGCTGCCTTGCAGCTGCCCTGGCTGGCTCTTACAGGTGTATGAATTTGCTTGGCTACAAATGTACCTTGTGGCATTACAGCAATAAATTACACTCAGGGCTTCTGTCTGGAATACACGTGTTAATGTTGACTTCTGCAAGCAACCAGTGGGAGCACAGGTTAGCAGACTCTCAGATTCACGCTACATTACAAAGATCAACCATCTTTTGGCTTGACACAACCTTCAGCAGTTCCAGCAGAAGCCAGTGAGTGCACACATGCTCTCACCTGGTTTTCTTCATTAGCCTAATATGTGAAGCGTGATTGTCTCTGAGACTTCTAAAACTCAGTTGTCATTACATAAATAAATAAGTAATAAAGCAAGGAGGCTTTAGGGAGTCCCCTGTAGTAGTACTGCACCGGGCCATCTCTGTGCACTTGTGCTTAAAACACAAGTTATGTCCTGCTGAAATCAGTGGGATTTTATAACTTAGCAGTGGAGTATCACCTTTTTCATCACTGGCAATGAAAGTCAATGCTTCAAAAATTCCTGGTATGCTGAGACCACCATTTCTCCTGTTGATAAATAGTCTTTCACTCCTCCTTTACGTTGCTTCATGTCCTGACTGCTTCTGACAGCTGCCTCTGATTTTGATGCTGAACATTTCCTGGGAAAGCGAGCAACTTTTTCTTCCCATTTTCTGGAGCACGTGACGTGGTAATATTGACAATAATAAGGATTCCTACGTTTCCAAAGGAGGTACATAGTGACATAGAGATATCAGCGTCCTCCTATAAGGAGCAGAGCTGAAAGACCTGAGTGCTCCTGGCTCCCAGCTTCAGGACTTGCTTTGTCACTTTGCAGTATTCATCATTATAAGCCTGGGATATTTATTGTGCTGCTCTGGTTTCTTTTCCAGTTAGAGTTACAACTAATTCGGTCAGACAAACCTACAGCCCCCATTAAAACTTTATTCTTCTGCCCTCGCGACTTGACTCTCGGGGTTCTTGGCAGATGGAACTCCTCATACTCAGTCTGCAGACAAAGCTTGGTTTTCCTAATGTCAGTACAGTGAGCCGAGGCAGTTCTGCATTGCGCAGGTGTGCAGCACCCTCGAGAGAGAGAACAAAGAGCTCCCTCACATCCGTGTGTGTTATACAACCATGGAAGGAAACAAAAATACATCCCCAATAAAAATTAGGAGGTCTTTTGTATTTGAATTATTCAGATGGGAGTTTGCTTTTAAACCTCAGGCTCGAGGTAGTTTTCTTCCATAGCATGGCCTACATTCAGGATATTGAATATATAACTATATGTACAGCTGAATATATAACTGAGCTGAACAAAGGGCAGAACTGGCAAAGACCTGCCACTGAATCTCCTGCCCCAATTAGCCTTGCTCCTGCATGGTGCTGTAATTGACTTCTGCTCTTTATTAAATGCAGAAGCACTTAGTCCATTGCCTCTACTCTCAAGCTTAGCAAACTACCAGCTGAGCCTTTTCTTAACCCCCTCAGAGGAACAATAAGGCAGCAGTGTGAGCTGCAGCTCAGCCCACTCCCTCCTCTCCCCCGTGGTGCATCCACGTTTTGAGGAGAGTGGTAGAGCCTATGTGGGGTGTGCTCTCAGAAGCAGAACCAACACCACCAGCTGCCCTGTCCTAGTCACAAACGCATTTTGTTTTACGGGATTTTTGTGCAGAATATCTGAGTTGCCAGAAGACAAGCTATGTGTTTATGACTCCAGCAGGAAAAATCAAAACTCTCGTTCTAAAAGCAAAAAAGATCTTGTTCCCTCCGCTTCTCCCTGTTAATAGCAGCTGCATTGTTCCAACCATTTCTGCTAAGAGAAATCAGACTTCATACTCAAATGAGCAGAACTCCTACCAGGCTTTGCTTGCTGGCAAACTCTCAGCAAACTGAAGAAACCAAAATTTCATTTATTTGAGGGACTTGATGTATACACACAGGTCTGAGCAGCACCTTTTCCACTGGGTGGGGTTGCTTGTTGTGAAGAAGGGTACAGAGGCTACAGCTGCCAGATGAACCATCAAGAGCAATCACTGCAGGGCTTGAAATTGCTGGACCTTTTGTTGTCCCTCTCAGAACAAGGGTTTTATCTACTCCAGGAAAATTAGAGGAGATTCCAGCATCTTCCTCTACCTGACCTCACATAAGAGCAGGGGATAGCCCAATCCTACCCTTAAAACACCAGACTGGGACAGCAGAATGTTTCAAAGTCTCTCATCTCTCTTTAGAAAACACAAACTTACAACAACCCAACTACATAGAGGTTAACATAAGCCAATGCCAGAGAGTGCAGGAAAGGAGGTATTCCTCCAGTGCCTTGCTTACTGCTTGTGGATTAGAAACTCAGATATGAGGACTTTTTATTGAACTGGTTTGTTTGGGTTTTTTTAATTAGCCATGATTTTGTGACTGATCTGTGACTTCCTACCTGGGAAAACAGAGACAAGATTGTCCTGTCTTGTGGCTTTGGGTGCCAGCTCTTCTGGCCATTCCACATGAATGTTCAATCAAGCAGATGCAACAGGTTGTATTTCTAAGCTGAGTATCCTTGGAGATCTGAAAAGTAAGCAAGTTGTTTCCAGCTGGCTGTTATAGTCCAGCCCATCAACCCAGTAATAAGAGTATGGCTCTTCACCAGCTCCCATATGTGTCAAAATGACCTGAAATATCTTGTGAAAGGATCACTTTCCTTCCTTGAGTGGATTTTTCTTTTTCCACAAGGATGTTGTTAATTGAAGAGAGGGTAGGAAAGGGATTCAATAGCAGGGAAGAAAAGCAGTGAAGAAAAGTGATGCCATCAGATACTACAAGCCTTGCCACTTTTCCCTCCCTTTGTGAATACTGGCTTCAGAGAGACAACTTCTCATACACCTGGTGAAGAAGTACCTCTGGTAGCTCCACAAGATTCATTTATCACCTCCCATCACCAACAAAGTTACCTATTTGTTCAATATGTTCAGAGCAAATGTCTAAATATGCCCAAACTACATGCAAAAGGATCTTCAGAAGTTCTGTACATGTCAGAAGGGTCTTTTTACTCAGCAGGCTGCACTTTTCAATACTGGGAGTATTTTAATAAAAGATACTCTATTCAGATCTGCTATACATAAAATGAGCACTCCAGGGTGAAAGATAATTAAACACTTCAAGTATCACTTTTCTAATATTCTCATTTTTCTATGTGTATTTTTCTAAATCTCATACTGAAACAATTTGAAGAAAATATAAAATAGAAAGTTTTATTTATTCTTTTGTCAAAGAGAAACTCCTGGTCTTCAAAGCATGAAAGGATTTTTCTACAGTTTGTCTACTAACTTGCATATCTATCAGATTTGGAAAACTTGTATACCCCTTCATCATTTTCTATTTTTCTGTAAGAGAAGCATTCAAGGAAAAAATTCCCAATAGTCACATTCAAAATCTGCTCCTGCCCATTCTGTCAACATATTGATTTTCAACATTTGCCTATGATCAATAATACTGAAAACAGAGAAAGCAGAGAGTAACTCCTCAGAGACATTTCTTTTTTCTAGTGCAATGGAAAACATTGAAGTGTTTTACTTTATCCCATCCTACATTGAAAATAAATAAATAAGAAAAATCAGTAAAATGGGTCTGACTAGGTTTTTGCCCGAGACCTCCTAAGAAATCATATTCAAAGCCTTTGCAGCACTATTTCAGGTGACCCACAAGAAGTTTATTTCTCCCAATCTGTTTATCATATGCTGTTTATTTGTGTGCCCCTGCAGACATGGGCTCTTCTTTACCTCCAGCTGTGATCTCCTGGGAGGTGTGGTCTCCACAGGAGCCCCTCCCAAACCCTCAGCTCCCCAACCTGTGCCTCTGCAGGGGTTAGAAGTGAATAATGCTTCTCCCTAATCCCAGATTAGGCGGCCAGATGTGATACAACCACTGTAAAAGAAATCTGATATACATTACAGAGACTTACAGGCAGCTGTGTGGCGTGAGTGATGACTCTGGAGCTGAGAAAGCCTTTGTATTCAGCACCCATAGCTCCCTCTCTGAAGTGCTTGTTAAGACTTTCAACACGGGTACCAATTATGACAGACAGCCAAACAGTTGACCTCTACAGCTTTAAATTTTGTAGCTGATCACAGAGCGGTCGAATGGGTGATGACTTTTGGTCACATCAACCTGGACTGAATTTAAGGCCTAAAGGCAGACTTGAGAACAGAAAGACCATTTTCAATTACCAAAGCCATAAGGCTTGTTTGAAACTGTATTGACATGAAAAGGCAGGCTAATAAGAGCATTTTAGCTTTGTGTTTTCATTACTAACTCAGAATTTCTTATCTGGAGCTTACATTATAAATGTTTAGCCTTGCAGTTCAGGTTTAAGTTTCATAGATTAGATCTAGGAGCTGTATCAGATATTCTTAAAAGTAGTCCCCTGCAAGACAAATAAAGGCTACACAATTACATGTTGTGCAATAAAAAAGCAAGAAATGGCCACATCAACATGATGAGTTGCCAAATGAGTTCATCCCATATAGCTGTCACCTCTGTCTCAGCCTCAGAAAGAGGAGGCACGGACTGATATATGCTCTTTGTGTAAACTATCTTTATATTTATCCAAAGAGGTTTCTCTAACCCAAAGGTTAATACCAGAGGCAAAAGAGGACAGTTAAAAGAATACTGGGTTTAGATATCAAGGCAATGGGCACTCTTGTAAAATTTCCAGGCAGGCAGACCAAAGAAGCAGAAGCTAAAAACAAAAATGTGTCAACGTGCATCTTTGGGATATCATTTAAATTGCCCAGCAAGGCTGGCAGGGTAGTACAGTCATGCTGAGTTTCAGAAACCAGTGGTTAACACTGAGAGACAGAAGTTGCACACAGGTTATCCCAATAGTATATATTTAATCACAGACACATCTTTATAGGAAGTGGTTGTACAAACTACTGTGAGGAGCTTAGGCTTTATAAATGTAAAAGAATATAGTAAGAGACATTAACTTAAAGAGCACAGATTCCTGAAAATTAAAAGTTCTTCTTCTCTCAGATGCAGAAAGGTTTGCTGAATAAATAAGCAGGAAAGAGAAGCTGATGATATCTTTAAGAAAACCCATGTAATATATTGATGCATATGAAAAAATTAAAGTAAGGGTTGTCATCTTGTCAAAGCAATGCAAGCACTCTGGTGCCCAGGAGCATAAAAGTAGTGTCTGTGCCCCAGCATTCAACTCCCCAAAGCCAGCAACAGGACTAACTTTATTGTGTTGTTCTGTGAAGTCTGGAGGTGGTTTTACTTGTTGCTTTCCAGAAAAAAAAATATTAATAAGAGTATCTCACAGAAAGAAGAACCCATTTAGGAGCTCTGCTGAGTGCCAGCTCTTCCCCTGAGGTGTGGAAAACTGTGGCAATGGTAGACAGGAGAAAATATATAAAGGTGACACTGTTAAAGTAGATTACTCTTTAATCATCTGCCCTGGGCAAATAATGTCATCTTTTTCCATTCTTCATTCTGCTTCTCCCCCACATCGCTGGCACTAATGTAAAGTTTCAGGTTTTGACTATTAATAAGCTGGTAATGTTATAAAAACCTTACATCTAGTGGAATAATACCAAATTACCAGCTTAACTACTGATCAAATTTATTTCTGTGTAAAGGAAGAATACCTGTTTTGATATCAGTGGCACTGTGTTAGGTTAAACTTATCAGAGTCACTCTCAAGATTCCTGTCTAGGGCAAAGTTTTTTCCTCTCCTGTTCATTCATCTTCAGTCTGAGGCCAGTTTAATTTTCAAGAACCATATTGCTCAAAGAGCGGGCTGCAGGTGAATTTCCACCAGTTTGATTGAAATTTTAAGCTGATGCAATCAACCAACAGCAAAATATGTTTTGAAACTTCTTTCCAGGAAGATTTTTCAATTGGTTTAAGAGTAGTTCACACAGACTTAGCCTAAGAGGCAAAGAGCTTGCACACCTGTTCCCAAGGTTTGTCCTCAGCTCGAGGTTGCAGTCCATCAGCTGAGGAGCAGGAATTAACTCAGCACCCACCCTTAGTTCTTTAGAGCACAAAGGGGCAGCAGCTTCACAAACAAGTCCAGCCCCAATGTGAGCACCTGTCTGACCTTAGCTGAAGTCAATTTGACCTAACCCGGAGTAATCCATTATCCCTCTGAAATACAAATATCTATACAAGCTTTGGGCTTGTTGACTAAATCAAATACAAATTGACTCAAGTTGCATCAATACAATTTACTTAAGTCTTCTCACTCGTACCGCATTCCATCTCCTAAACTCTGGCTTTTGCCCGTGATCTCAATGCAGATTTAAATAATCTCTTGTTAACCAACATATATGTTTTCTGCCTTACAGTGAGGCTCTCAGAAATCCTTATCCCTGCTTTTATTGTTCCTGATCCTGAATCTGCTATGAATTTTTCTTTGCTCCCATGGCTGTGATGTCTGATGACACTGGGACCACTGAGCAGCTTGCAGGATCAGTCTCCAAAGCCCTGATTATGATGTATACTGAGAGACACACACTCCCATCAACAGCACCACAGTGCCATCCTGCCCATTACTTCTCCTGGCCATAGGGGCGAGACCTCTAAGAAAATATAGTTCATATTTTCAGTGTGTACCTGCAACCTACATTTTTCCTTTGTTCCATACCTAAAATCAAGGCTTCACTTGCACACTGAGTTTAGCACACAAGAATAACTTGTTACTCCTCCTTTGAATATCCCCTCACTTGGTCCTTTGACATTTTTTTTCAAACTCTTCTTTTTCAGTCTGTAGCTCTTTGATATCTGTCATGGTTTGAGCAGGCCCAAAATCCAATTCTGATTCCTAGCCCCCCTCCCACATCTCAACCCCATGTGAGATGGGTTTTCCAGACAAAAACACGAGACTCAATATGGGGGAAGGAATATATTACAAAGACTATACAGCAAATAAATACTATAATACATTGTATACAATCTTAACTCTATATCTATCTCTACCATGACAATAATATTTACAATGGGCCAAATCTCTTCTCCCTCCAAATAAAAGTCCAGGAGAGAAGAAGAAGAAAAGACCCCTTCCAGTCTGTCAGCAGCAGGCTCTCTCTAGGCAGCAGGCTCTCTGTGTCTTCTCTTCCAGGCAGCAGTAGTAGTTGCTGGCTCTCTGCCAGCACACACGAGGGGGTCTCCAAGCCCCTCGGCCCTCCGTCCTCAAACGGGGGTCTTTCCGTGGACTACGTAACCCCAGACAAGGTCGCATCACCACGGTCATATCACGAAGCACGGGGGTCTTCGTGACGGTCTGGTATCCTCAGGGGAAATCAAGCCCCTGTGCAGAGCTCCCATGCTCTGCCTCAAAGATGGCTGCCAGCTTCTCTGAAGCTGCAGCAAGGAGGGGGGAGGGAAGCCCAAGGTCACCCCCTCCACACACATTCCTTTGGCCATCCTGGCTGAGCTCTCAGGAGGCCGGAGCTTCTTAGCTCCTCTCTGTAGTGCATACTGCACTTTAGGACTCCACTCAGTCCACCACCCCCTCCTCTTTCTCAGAGGGGTCTCTAGTGAGTTTGGAGGTTTTGGTTTGTCCAGTTCTTACCCTCCGAAACTCTCCTCCTGCTGCTGGCTCGGGTCTCTTGTCTTGTTGCTGCTTTTCCTTCTCCTCAGACACCTCTGTGTCTGCCTTAGCTGCATACTGGCTTGTGTTGCTCCTTTGGTCCTTATCAGTTGGCTCTTTGCCACTGCTCTTCGGACGCTGCTGTCTCCGCTGCTGCTCCGTCGCTGCTCCCAGCGTCTCCCACTTCTATTTACAGGGAAGAAACTCCCCCAGCTCCTAGCCACAGGCACTCAGTCCAGCTAACACTGTTCCAAGTCCCTGCAGCCCCCCAACTGGGGGCTGGGGGGGCAAAGCCCCCAGGGGCCCTGAGCCCCTGCTTCGTGGCTTCTACAACATGGCCACCTCTTCTTCTCACAACAAGAACTACTGCTTCTCTTCCGGTCTCCAGAGATATGTTTATATTTTGCAGGAGCACCGATTGGGTCAAGCCCCAAGGGTCACCACCCCCTGGGGGTTACCACTTTCTGCTTCAGGGGGAAACCTGGTTCAAACCACTACATTGTTTTGCATCCTTACTCTGGCCTCTAATTTTCTCGTCGCAGCAACTTTATTTTCCATGCAGCATGATCTAGGAACAGCTGCTGCTCTTCCACCAGGATCTTCCTTTCTCCCTCAGTCTGGCTGTTGGGAGGCTGCAGGTATTCTCCAGCTCCACAGTTTCTGTCTGTCTGTGCCAACGGATGACCCAAAAATCCTAGGGATTTCCCACATTCAGATGTGCCCAGGAAGTGTTTCTGTAGCCTGTACCAACCATAAGGGCACAGAAGAAAGTCTGGTTTCACAACAGGGTTTCTAGGAAGCCTTCCTTTATTTAAATTTCAGGGAACTCAGTCATGACCATGCTGCAGTTATTGTACCCTAAGTCTGCTTGGCTTTTCGGTCCTCTCTTGTTCCTAGTTGTTCCTAGTTCCTCATTTGAGAAGACTCTGTAAAAGGCCGCCTAGTGCCCCACTGAATCACAGGGTATGCTGGCTGGAGCTTGTCTCAAAGCATTGAGCTAGTCCTTGTGCATCTCAAAGGGGAGATCCCCCCACCTCCTCAGCATTCCAATCTTAAGTCTAGCTGGGATTCACGGGAGCAGACAGGAATTTGGGATCAACGTTGCTTCACGAGTGGAATGGTTTGCCAGTCAGCCTGAAACTCTTCTGAAAACTAGACCAGCGTTCTGCGAAGAAAGAATAAGCTTAATAAAACAGCCTTGGAACAAATTTATAAAAATGAAAAGGAAGCACTCTCTCTCAGCTAACTGCATCCTGGCTTGGCTCCAGTTGCTGCTCTCTTTATTTCATCCAGCTAAAATGCTGTCAGGGCCTGCCTCAGCTGCAAGAGCCACAGCCAGAACCTGGAAAGTCTGAGCAGTTTATATTGAACTCAAACACTCTCATTGCTTTCCAGCTCCTTAGGCAAGGCACAGAGCAGGGATGCTCCCCTGGGGATGCTCCCATTCCTGCAGGCTCCTCTCTGCAGGTTGTACAGATGCAGACATCAGAGTGTTACCTACAGCTGATGATGCATTTTTACCATGCAAACTGTGTGATTTTTATCTCTTACAACCTGCCTTTAGGAATGTAGATATGCCCTGGCACAGGCCAGACACAGCCTGGCATCACCATTTGTGTGGCCAGTGAACTCCAGGCTTTCCTGACCATAAACATAGAGAATAACAACTGGGTTAGTAATTTTCCCTGTGAGCAGCCCATGTACTTCCTGCGGATGAGATGCTATCTGCACTCCAGCAGGGTGACATTTAATCCTAAATCCACTGCAACGAAACACCTCTGCTGCAAAAATGGGTATGTCTACCCTCCATTTCCCCAGAGATACTTCTTTCCCCTTTTCCCTACAACCAGCACTGCTACGACCATGTGAGCAGCCAACTCAGGCTTTGCTTGCTGAACTCTCTGAACCAGCACATCGTGGGGTTGAACACACAGCAGTGCCAGTGCAAAGGAAGCAGCAGGAGTGAGAGGTCTTGCTCTGTGGGCAAGGCGAAGGGGAGCGGGGCCACTCATTTCAGCAGCAGCCCAGAGTTAGGTCAGCTTAACCATCTACTTTATGCTTAGTCCTTACACCTGAAAGCTACATTTTGTGCAAACACCTAAAATCACTGTCATGTGCTGTACAAACAAAGGATGTGACTGCAGACACAACTAACAGTGGAGACTAACAGGGAGAGAATGCAGGACAAGTTCCTAACTTGACTGACTGAGTACTGGTGCCAGCCTTTAGAACCTTCATTGTTGAGTCCAAGGAGATGTGGCATGCCAACACCTTAGCAATGCAAATCTTTAACATGTGCACAGGCTAGACATTTATTCATTTCTCATACTAAATGAGGAACTGGGCAACTCTACAGCTCCTTAGAGGTTCATATTCTTCCCATCACACCATAATGTCACATCACCATTCAACACGGCTTGTCTGAAAGCTGCAGCCTCGAAGGCTCTGCTCCACATGCAGCTGGAAGCAACACTCACATATATTTAGGACTACAGGTTTGTAAACCCACACGTGGCATTGTTACAATAGACTAGGAAATGTCTCCCATGCCTGACTTTGGTAGTTCCATGTTTGCTTTTGGTGAGAACAGTGAGGGCTTTCTCAAGGAGGTGTTCTGTCATCTCTGTTACAGGGGTTGATAAGAAGCAAGTGGTAAATGTCACTTGAATCTTCACTTACCAGACAGCTGAAATTCAGCTTGATACCTGTGGACTTTCACTTTTAAGTGCTCATTTCTCGACAATTTCAACAACTTAGATAAGCTGGAAAAATGCATCAAGGACACACATCAGCCTTCTGGTAATGAATTGGCTTCAAGATGCTTGATGATATATGGAGAGCAGAAGCTAAATCTAGCAATGACTGATTCTGAAAGCTGCCAGCAGTGATGAAGACCTCTACTTACAACAGTGTACTACGTTTAAAAGTAGGCCTGAAACATGCTGGGTAGCCAGTGAGTAAAGTGTTGGCATTTTATTTTAAGAACCATGATTAGAGTGGAAGATGTTGCCTTAATAAAATATGTTTTGTACCTACTCTTAGTAAATCGCAGACAAATCAACAGCCTATACAGGAGAGGAAGGCTGGAACTCAGCTTGCAAGCAGACTGAATTATTTCTCACTACAGATTTGAGGTTATTGGCAGACATCCCATGTTGCCATTTAGTCCTCATAGCGAGCATGTTTTATAAATATTTTCCATATAGACAGACACACTGTAGCCACTGAGACTCCAGAGAGCTGCCATGTAGGCCCTCCTGCCCTTTGGAGGCTCCAGTTTGATTTCCAGGTAATACAAATCAAAACCAAAATTGCAATTACATCTGTAGCAACAATAGTTCTTTCTTCGTACTGCAAATAACAAAGAGAAGGGCAAAATGTTCCCAAGGAATGAGGAGATGCACATTGCTTTCTTTCCTCCCAAGTGCCACACTTTGACCCCTCTCAGACTCAATGGTTTTGTCACAGGCCAGGATGGCAAAAAGTTAAGGTCAGCTCTGCTACTTCTCAGAGTCCTGAAATTTGCTTAGACTAGAAACTACAGTGTCCTTAGCAGAATAATATCTTCAGTTGTAACTGGGGAAATGTTAGGCAGAAGAAATTGATAATTGTAATGTTTACTTATACTTGATTAGTATTTATCTTCTTGTCCTTCTCCCTTTTAAATTTTATACAAGAATATGCTCATATTTAAATGCCTCTTCGGTTGTTATTAAAATAACCAATGAAACATTCCCCTCACCTTCCCCCTCAAAAAGAAAAAAACCCTCACAAATCTACTCATTAAGATACCTTTTTACCTTTCTCCTCAGGGAGAAGGAACACTCTATGGTCTATGCATATGTGCTCACCTATGAGGTATTTTTAGCAATATATTATGGCTCTGTGTTAGTCCCTTTTTGTACAGACCCTTAGGCTATTGCTATTTTGCATGATCAAAATAGAATTGCACCAACTTCTGGGTGACTAATTGATGCAAATTATACTGGCATAGCTGGTGATTTTCCTGCTTTAAATTAGGAAACATTTCAATGGAAAAGTCATTAAAAAAAGAGGAGGACTAAGTAAATAAAAATGTTGTTTTTCGTGTTGTTGGCTAGGCTGAATCCGCCAATGCTTTTAAAGCACTTTTTAAGTTATTTTCTTTTAATCGGCTCAGCCAAAATTCAAAGGCCATTGTTTTAACATTACTGTGTCATCCAGTTGGGGTTTTCTGAAATTGTTGCTGGACAAGAATTTGCACAGTTCCAAAAACTATGGTGACATCCATACTCAGGATGGAGGGAGAGAGGGAAAGGGCAGGGAAGATGGGAGGCAGGGAGGGAAGGAGACAAGGTGTTTTATTAGAGACAGCCATCATATCCACATTCAGCTCTGGGATTAGTTAGAACTTCCTTTTCTTCTTGCATTTTTTCATTTGATTAAAAGACTGCTTTTCAGAAGCCAAAAACTCAGAAAGAAGATCCAGAAAAACGTGCCTGTTTTAATAACTATTTTCCTCTGACTTTCACAAAACATCCTCTTTCCAGTTTGCCAGAAAACTTTCAGTAATACCCTCCTTTTCCCACTCTCCCCAAACTATTTCCAGTGCCATTTTGGCAAAGAAGTTATTCAAATTTTTGTAAAGGTCATGAATGGAGACCCTTGACCAACTCTTGCCATCTTCACAACATAGGCATGAACTGGAGGTCAGCACTGAACAGTGACCAAATTTCACTGCTCAAAAGCGAGACACTGAGGAAATCTGTCACTGGAGGATTTAAAATGTGAGTAGTTTCTCATCTACAGTCTTTTGCAGGAAGACTGTGCATTGGAGAGCAAGAAGCTGCACCACCACCTCAGATGCCCAGGACAGCTTTGGGTGAAAGACCCAACCACCTATTCCTGCCAGTGCAAGAATGGCCTCAGGGTGGGAAGGCAGCAAGGATTGCTGTCCCAGAGACCCTGCAGGAGCAGTGGAGGGTGAGGACCGCATTGAGGAAAGCTACTGTTTGTCTCTCACTCCAGTTCATGGCCTACAGAATCACAGAATCACTTAGTCTGAAAAAGGCTTCTAAGATATCAAGTCCAACCATTAACCCAACACTGCCAAGTCCACCACTGAACCATGTCCCTAAGCCACGTCTACATGTTTTTTAAATACCTCCAGGGATGGTGACTCAGCCACTTCCCTGGGCAGTCTCTTAGAAGCTGGCAAGTCCTCCAGTGTTGCCTAAAATAGCTGAAACATGTAAATGTCTACTTCAAAAAAAAAAATGCCTAGGGTGCTCATGGGATGGGCACTCCTCTTGGAAAACTCTAGTCACTCTCTCCTTACTCAAAACACTTTCCCTTTGAAGTTCACACATTGCATGCCAACATGGGAATGTCTTCTAATCTAATGTTGGCAGGAGAAAAAAAATTATCCTAAATCTCATGTGATTCCCCAAGAAAAACTGGCAGTTTTGTAGCTGTAACCTTCCTCTTCACCAGAATCATACTGTGTCCCTTACTCTCTTAGTGTTTTAATCTCAGTAATAGACTTGTGACTAACAGAACATTTTAAGAGCTTTGGAGAAGGGATCACAGCAATTTCCTGGAGCTAGGATGAGATTACAACATTCAAAGATGTGGTACATTAATAAAAACAAATTAATCGCTACAACACAAGGAATATCTTGAAGCATATTTATCAATTTCACTGGGATTATATAAACTGCTCAGATCCTCAGGAATTTCTCATATTGTGCTATAATTTATGCTTCTGTGCTAGGGAGACTAGACCTGGTACCAGCCTGCTTATCTATCTGTGAACAGGTCAAGGATTAAGTGTTATCAGTGCCTTAATAGACTTGCCTGGAGAGAACAAGGGTAAATGCATCATCAGTAAAGGCAACCTTGCTAAAGTTAAAAATC